CACTCTCACACACACACACACGTACTCTCTCTCACACACACACACACACACACACACACACACACACATACTCTCTCACACACACACATATACACACTATATAGACTGTGCTGTACATTATGGACAAAGATGATTAAATCATAAATATTACATTTAAAAAAAATCCTGATATAAAGACTGAATTGCAAGATATAAACTTGTAACTCAAAAAAAGGAAAAGGTAATAATTGCGAGATTAAATATCTGCCTTTTAATTGGCAGAAACCAAGAAAGAATCGTAGAATGTAGAATGTAAACTAGATATGAATGTTTTATTTCACAACTCTGACTTCTTTCTCTCGCAGTTCTGAGCTGTAAACTCAGAGTTGCAAGATATAAACTATTCGGAGGAGAAAAAAAAAATCTGAATTTTGAGTTAATATTTCATCTCAGAATTGTGCAGAAAAAAAAAGTGAAATAAAATGTCACTTTTTTTTTTAATTTTTTTAATCATGGTGGAAATGGGCTTCCATATACAGATGCGTTTTGTCTGTGGAAATGTGTTATTCACTGCTGTGAAGTGACGTGACTGGACAGGTTTTTCATTGCATAGCACACAAACGCAATTAATCGATGATTAATAAAAAAGATTATTGGCTAATTATCGATTAATGTAATTTATTTTCATTGTTGATCATTCTTGATTGGTTGTTGCAGCCCCAGACATTATTACAGGTTCTCATATGGGAATGTTTTTAAATGTAATGTTGCTGCAGATATACTGTAGGTTGTAATCACTTTTTTTTTTTGTTTTGCTCTTTCAGAAGGAAGACCCTACCAAGAACAATCCTCGCTTCTGGGATGAGCTGTTTCTGATGAAGGTTGCTGGCAGATACACATCCTGAAATACGTTTTGTACTGGAGTCATTTCTGTGGAGCTGTTTTATCAGTAAGTGGGCAGTATTGTTGATCTTTCTCTGTGCTTTGAGCAGGTCAATCTGGAGTATCTGGAGGGGAAGTTGGAGTCTCTGGATGGGGATGAAGTCATGAAAATCAAAGACAACATCAACAGTTTGTTCCATCACTGTGTTCAAGCTCTGGGTGAAGAGCACCAGATCAAAGTAGTCAATGCGCTTCAGGTAAAATCATGCTTACTGCATTTATATATCTTCATAATTCACATAATCAAATCATGCTACAAATAATTGGTAATGTTTCACCGCAGAATATTTAGTATAAAGAAAATGAACCATTAAAACATTTTGTATTTCTTTTATTTTTATGTCAGTTACAAATATTTTTGCCTTCAAATGCTCATTAATATTAAAAAAATCTCATTCTTATCACTGCAATTTGAAAAAAATAACGATGCATTATGTGAATGTTTAAGTTATTTATACATGATGGTAGAACTTCTTATACTTACTTTTTTAATCACTGTGTCTGTATAGGATTTTTAAAAAATGTTTATTTAGAGTATTGAAAGTCTACGAATCTAATAAGGTTAACCATTGATAATAATGGGAATTACAACTCGAAGCCTAAAATCCATGCACTTAATTAATTAATTAATTAATTTTTACTTAATGGTAATGATAATTATGAAGTAAAATGTACTTGGTTGTCATAAAATTACAATATATAATAATAGTGTAAAAAATACACTACCATTCAAAAATGTGAGGCCAGTAAGATTTTCAAGAAACTTTTTTTTTAAAGAAATGACTACCTTTATTTAGCATGGACACATTGAATGAATCAAGTTACAGTAAAGACATTTATAATGTTGCAGAAGATTTCTGTCTCAAATAAATGCTGAAAAACTGTTTTAACGTTTTGAACATTGATAATAATTAGAAATGTTTCTTGAGCAGCATATTATTATGATTTCTGAAGGATCATGTGACACTGAAGCCTGGAGTAATGATGCTGAAAATTCAGCTGCACCTCACAGAAATAAATTACATATATTCAGTTAGAAAGCACTTATTTTAAAAATTGTAATATTTCACAATAATACTGTAAAAACAGTGTATTTGATCAAATAAATGCAGCCTTGGTGAACAGACGAGACGTCTTTCAAAAACCTTAAAAGATCTTACAGACCCCAAACTTTTGAACAGCAGTGGAAGTTTCATTTTCTTTACACAATATTATTTGTACAATTATTTTTTGGCTTAAACATGCTTAAAAACATTCAATTGGAAACACAAAACCGAAGTTGTGAAGTCAGCTTTTGTGTTTGCAGACACACCCTGCGTTCAGTTACTGGTTGGCATTCAGAAAATCTAACAGTTGCTTTTGACCCAAAGATCTAAATGAAAAGTACTACAAAGACAAGAAAAGCTCACCAGTCTCCTCCTGTCTGTTTCTGTAGACTCTCTGTGCGCTGTTTCGAGGAGTTCACCAGAAGAACAAATCCGCCACAGGCTTTGACATCATCAACATGCTGATGGGCTTCGACAAAGCTGAGCTCCGAATGAAGGTCAGTCGTTTGTCTCGCTCGCACATGATCTGGACGTTTTGATTGAATGCAAATTTGAGTTCTAATGTAATTGTGCACACAGGAGCTAATGGAGAGCCTGGACAGTCTGCTGTGCGGTGATGGATCGGAGAGTCTGAAGAGTTTGTGTCTAAAACTACTGCTGTGTCTGGTCACTGTAAGATCAACACATCCATTCTTCTGCACTCTTTTGGTTAAAATCTGGTCACTTTCATTTTCACTCCATAGTAAATCGTTCTACTTGACCCTTAGTTTGTAAAAGAAATCAAAAATCAGTCCATTTACAATGGAAGTCAATGGGGCAAGGAATGGCACCAAAAATAGACGTTAAAATAAACAAAAACTTAAGCAACAAAACTTAAAGGAATAGTTCATCCAAAAATGAAAATGCGCTGACAGTTTACTCACCTTCAGGCCAACCAAGATTAGGATGAGTTTGTTTCTTCATCAGATTTGGAGAAATGTAGCATTGCATCAGTGTCTCAGCAATGGATGCTCTGCAGTGAATGGGTGCCGTCAGAATGAGAGTCCAAACAGCTGATAAAAACATCACAATAATCCACAAGTAATCCACACCACTCCAGTCCACCAGTTAATGACTTGAGAAGTGAAAAGCTGCGTGTTTGTAAGAAGCAAATCCATCATTAAGATGTTTTTAACTTTAAACTGTCATTTCCGGCTAAAATATAAGTCCTCTATTCATAATATTGCTTCATCCAGTGAAAAAGTCGACTCATCTGAATCAGGAGAGAAATCTGCACAGATCAAGCACCATTTACAGGTGAAAACAGTCCAAAACAGCTCTAAACAAATATGTGGGTGGATTTTGATGTGAGGAGATGGACTTTATCACTGGAGGAAGCATTATTATGGATTAGGGACGCATATTTTAGTTGGAAGCAATGGTTTAAAGTTAGTGTCTTAATGATGGATTTGTTTCTTACAAACATGCAGCTTTTCTCTTCACAAGACATTAACTGCTGGACTGGAGTGGTGTGGATTACTTGTGGATTGTGATGTTTTTATCAGCTGTTTGGACTCTCATTCTGACGGCACCCATTCACTGCAGAGCATCCATTGGTGAGCAAGTGATGCAATGCTACATTTCTACAAATCTGATGAAGAAACAAACTCATCCTAATCTTTGATGGCCTGAGGGTGAGTAAACTGTCAGCGCATTTTCATTTTTGGGTGAACTATTCCTTTAAAAATGAGATGTTCACATGGCACTATTGTGATAATATCCTTTTTTGCTGCTTTGAAATCCTCTGGTATACTCGGCCCATAGATGTCCATTGCTGTAAATGCTATTTTTTGTTTATTTCTGATGTTTTCTGATGTGGTTATAATGTGTTTTTTTTATTTCAGGTGACAGATAATATTAGTCAGAACACCATTCTGGAGTATGTGATGATCAACAGTATATTTGAGGCCATTCTACGGGTAAGACTGTGATTGGGTGTATTATGTGTGGCGTGAATTTTTCGATCTTGCCAGTGCATTATAATGTCGTCCATTTCATTCGCCCCTTTTTGTCCAGATTCTGTCTGACGTTTCCAGTCGAGCGCAGCATGGATATGATGCTGTGGTACTATTAGCTCTGCTGGTCAACTACAGGAAGTATGAGGTAAATGCACAGTAAAAACTTTATTAAGTCAATATTTCTAAATGCAAAATAAGCACATTAATGTTTGTACTAATATAATATGTCATTCTAGCAGTTCTAGTCATGAAGCTATGTTTGTAACACTTCTGTGAGATTCATTGTTTCCTCTGTTAATTGTAGTCTGTGAATCCTTACATTGTGAAACTGTCGATAGTGGACGACGAGCCGACCCTGGATGTGAGTGATTAGCAAGATTTTTGAAATTAAAGATATTATTGAGTCACATGGAGGTCTAATATAGTTGATCTTTTCATAGGGCATGGGAATGGTCATCCACCACGCACTTACAGAGTACAATAGGTAACGTGCAATCTCTGTCGTTTTGTTTTTAAGAAACATCTATGTGAAAGATTTCATGTGTCCCATCTGATTTCCACAGGCAGTATAAAGACAAAGAAGAAGAAAACCAGGGAGGCTTTTTTTCCACCCTTTCCAGCATGGTATGAAACTTTTCCACTCTAAATGAAAATTCTGTCCTAATTTATTCATTTCTTTCCAAACCTGCTTGACTTTTTGTTTCTGTGGAACACAAAAAGAGAAATTTCACCGAATGTTCATGCTGCTCTTTTCCATACAATGAAAATGAGTTCGCAACTACAGATTTATAAAAATAATGCTTCGGTCTGCAGGTGGGCAGTATGTTTATCGCTGATGCAGATGAGAAGCTGTCAGTACAGTAAGTAAAAACTAAAATATTTTATTTTAATCGGTGAACACAAAGCACCTAAATTGCATTTAAAAAATATATAAAAAATGCACCCACCGTACAAAAGTTTTGGGGTCGTAAAGATTTTTTAAAATGTTTTTAAAAGAAGTCTCTTCTGTTCACAAAGGCTGCATTTATCTGATGAAAAATACGGTACAAATTTTAATATTTTGAAATATTATTACAATTTCACAACTGTTTTCTATTTGAATATATTTTAAAATGTAATTTATTCCTGAATTTTCAGCAGCCATTAATCCAGGCTTTAATTTCACATGATGCTTTAGAAATGTAATGTTGTTAAGCATAAAATCAAAAGAAAAAATAAGAAATTATATGTAGAAATGATTTGTGTAGAGAAAATGAAATTTACACTAATGTTCAAAAGTTTGGGGTCGTAAAGATTTGAAGGTTTTTGAAAGAAGTCTCTTCTGCTCACCAAGGCTGCATTTATTTAACAATACAGTAAAAACACTAATATTGTGAAATATTATTACAATTTAAAATAAGCGTTTTCTCTTGTAATATGTTGTAAAATGTAATTTATTGCTGTGATCAAAGCTGAATTTTCAGCATCATTACTCCAGTCTTCAGTGTCACATGATCTTCAGAAATCATAATAATATGCTGATTTGCTGCTCAATTATTATCAATTATTATTGGTGCTCAATTTTTAATAATGGTACTTATAGATATCAATGTTGGAAACTGTGACACATTTTTTCAGGATTCTTTGATGAATAGAGAGTTCAAAAGAGCAGGATTTATTTGAAACAAAAATACTATGTAACGTTATAAAAGTAATTACTGTCACTTTTGGTGATTTAATTTAAATAAAAGTGCTAATTTCTTTAAAAAAAGTGAACTTTTGAACAGAAGTTGTATATTCATATTTAAAGGTCAGATCAGCCCCTTAAGTCTCCAGTACATGATAGCAGTCGTCAAATATTGAAATCTCCTTTCTTGTATTATTAAATCAAATGCTCCACATGTCTGATGACTTTACTGTCCTTTAGGACTAATGAAGCCATCCTGCTCGCTCTGTATGAGGCCGTGCATCTCAACAGAAACTTCATCACAGTTCTTGCACAGGTCAGCACTGCACAATTATTTTTCACTATTTTCTATGTGCATTGACTTAATTTTACGCTTGCATGTTCCAATGCTTTTATCATAAGGCCTTTGCTTATCTATACATTGAGGCTTATGGTTTACTTGTGAATCACAGAGCCATCCGGAGATTGAAATGGCAACGACCCCGGCTACACCCGTCCCAGCCTCTCCTACGACCCCGCTGGGCACCACACCGCCCTCTCTGGACAGTGAGCTGTGTTAAAATATCATTCACTCAGCCTCATGTCAAACCCACAGGACCTTCTTTCTTCTGCAGAACACAAAAGTAGAAATCTTGATGCACCATATTTGAATCGAATACATTCAGCGGCTGTTTCTATAAAACAAACTACTAGGGCTGGGTTTGACACAAATTTCACGATTCGATTCGATTCTCATTCACAAGCTTTCGATTCGATTCGATTCA